TGGTGCAAGGAACGATGCCCGAGTTTACTGAGGGAGACGGACCGTGTGCGACTAAGAAGGGGAGCGGCGCCGGTGGCGGCGGCGCTGCCTGGGGAGCTACATCTGTGCTACGTGTGTGCGTGGTACAGGTGTGTGAGCTGTGCATGGGAATCATGACATTGGTTAAACATTACTTTTTTAAAAGTAGGTACCTTCACCTCCACACGCGCACAGTACAGTACATGGCTGTGATTGCCATGTACTGTACCAAGGGTACTGTGTCAGGTGTTCGAGATCCGGATGTGAAACGTGTCCACGTCGAGAACACGCCCCCTGGGTACGTGCACTTACGACATATTTTTGCCGACATTTTGGCCCTCTCCCATGAATTCCCATTCTCTGTAATCTCCCACCATCCCTACTGTCCCTGGCATCTCCAATCTTTCCACGCTCTCCGCGCTCTCCGCGCTCTCGCTCTCCGCGCTCTCCGCGCTCTCGCTCTCCGCGCTCTCCGCGCTCTCCGCCGCTGCTGGGAGAGGAGCCTCGGTGCGCCGGTGCGTGTCTGCATTTTTTAAGTGTGAAAGGTGTTTCGGCCGGGAGTCTGGAGGTGGAGGTATGTTTATCGATTCTACATTCCGGGTGTGTTGCGCTCCCGATCCGGTTTCCAGCACGGGTTGGGCGGGTTGGGCGGGATGTGGGCGGTGCGGAACGTTAACTGGAGAAATTGGGGGTTAGGTTGAAGGGTATTGGAATCAATTTAATTGTGAGCGGTGACCATGATGTGGGGCTTGTGAGAAAGGTCATATGCGAAGCATGTTCTTCCGACGGAGTGAATTGAGGGACAAACTGGGGATGCTGGGCGCTGGAAAGAGGCGGGAAAGGAGGGGGGCGCGGGAAGGGTGACACGGGTTGGGTTTTCATTGGGTGTTGCAAGGCGAATGGTGGGGCGCCAGGTGGGGGAGTTCTGTAACTGTATCGTTATGGCAATTGTTCCGCATGGGACCGAGCGAGGTGTAATGACGGGAATGCACAGCTGTATTGCTCTACAGTACCCTTGGTACCCTTCGAAGGGTACTCGTATCAGGGAGTGTGTTAGGTTGCCCGAGTTTGCAGGGTGAAGCTCATCCTTGACCACGTTAAAGTTTACTTTTTCTTTGTTTTTGTTTTGTTTTGCCTTGGAATCCAAGCCGCACGGGGGCGAGGAAAAGCTGCATCCAAAGCTTGGATGGGGGCTTGGATGCAGCT